TGTGAATTGTAGCGGTACAATGGGGTGAAAATAGTGGGTGTTGGGGATTAAGTCGGCGGTGTGGAATTGTGTTTGAGAAATTGAAGGAATTGGAGGAGTTGAGGAAGTGACGGAGATGGAGAAGGAAATGATTCCAGAAGGCTTGAAGGAGGCGAGGGAGATAGAAATGGTAGTGATTCCAAAAAGGGGCAAAAAGTAGTAAGGGCAGTATTAAAAGAAACGACGTCGTTTTGATTTGGGACTCCAATTTTTTTTTGGAGGTAGGATTGAGCCGCACTTTCCCGTATATATATATTTTTTATTACAGACTACAAAGACTTGAAATAATATATTAATATAAAGATTGATTTTTATTATAAAAGGTGGTCATATTATATCACGAGATTTTTGAGTTTCTATCTTTATTATTAAATTAAAAGTTTTTATTAGTTTTAATTCTCATAAAAATCAAGAATCTAAATTGCACAAATTCAAAACCGTCCTTTTAATTCAGTTGGTTTATAATATACGCTATGAAAATCGAAGAAGAAAAATACGGACGTTCTCACCTCCACCATCATCAATTCCTCCACTTTCCTCATGCATGAATGACCAGGTCAGACTCAGACTTCGATTATATATCTTCTCATTTTCATTTCATGTTGCAGAACCTCTCCTCTCGTCTCTACAATTTTATCTTTCTACACATGGTAATGTTTTATTTTCTTTTTTTCTTCCCAAACCTCCTTGCTATTTCTTTTACAATTATATATAGCAATGCTTTATTGTCTCTTTAATTAGCTGCTGTCTCACACAGGAATTTTGCGTTTATCTGAATGAATACAAACTAAAGTTGTTTCCCTTTTCCGATGAAAAAAGGGGTTAAATTTTTAGTCTTAGTTGCTTTCTTCTTATGCTGAAAGACAGACTTCCATTTCTGGTTATGTGTGTAGTGATCAGAGATGGTTCACAACTCTGGTGAACTCTGCTATCTTGGGATGTCCAAAACAAAACTCTGAGTCCTTCTGGGCTGCTTCTTCTTGTCTTCAGCGCTTGTTGGCATGGAGTACAAAATTCCAAAACTCATCCAGATGAAGGTAGCTTTTTTTTGTGTCTTGATTCAATAGTAGAGGCCACAAGGCGATTTTGCTTGAGCTTTTGCCATTAGCACTCGCGATTTTATTTTCAGAGAATGCCTAAGAGTTTACATTAATTGTGCCTTAAGAATAGGACTATGTTTAAGCACTTTTTGAGAGATATGATGCATACGTGTAAATACTACCAAGCATGTATACCTTCCTTGGCTCTATTCTCTTTAAAGTCTAGTAGTAGTAGATCTTGTCTGGTTTGATTTACTCTTTCATATTCCAAAATCATCTAACATTCATTTAGATGAATTAATTAATGTTAATTACAATTTGCAGTGAGGGCATTGCAAACCATTAAGAGAAGTTTGACAGATCCCAATAAAAGTTTGACTAGATGGAATCGAGGAGATCCATGCACATCCAATTGGACTGGAGTTTCATGCTCTAATACACCCCTAGATGATGGCTATCTGCATGTCACAGAATTGTAAGCTTTAGTTGTCAATTTCGTTATGCATGGTTATGGACAAATTACCCATCACTGCAGTCATTCAACCAAGATATATAGGTCTAGGTACTAATCAGAACACTTTGCCCATGCATCTTAATGACATTGAAAAGTTGCTGCCATAAGCCTTTCATCATATCATAGCCCTTAACTGTTTACTGCTGTTTTGTTTTGTTTTTATGTCAAGAATTTTCTAAACGTCTACAAACCCATAAAAACTAAATATCAACTTCCATAAACTTTCACCTAATTGCTTTTTGACATTTTTACTAATTAACAACTATGCTATATTGCTCTCTTCATTTGTTTTGTTTCATGCAGGCACCTGCTGAATATGAATCTTTCAGGAACTTTATCACCGGCACTTGGCCGCTTGTCTCGTCTGTCAATATTGTGAGGCTATGTAATTTCTGAAAGCTACTTTATCTCAATCCTTCCTGGAAGATTTATAACTTTTCACCTAATGATGGTTTATAATCCGTTTCCATTGTAAAAGGGATTTTATGTGGAACAACATAAGTGGGAGTATACCAAAAGAGATTGGCAATATCAAAACCTTGGAGCTCTTGTAAGTTAAATTTATTTAACAATGATTTTCTGGCTCATTTCTGATCTAATTAGCAATATTGTAATACGGCACATCTGCATCAAATTTTCTTATTTGCTCATTTAGAAGTGGTATTCTATTTTACAGGCTCTTGAATGGGGAACCACTTGACAGGTTCCTTGCCTGATGATCTTGGCTCTCTGCCAAAACTAGATAGGATTCAAATTGACGAGAACAAAATATCCGGACCAATACCCGCATCATTTGCAAACTGTTTGTGAATTTGGCCATGAAATGTTGCCAAGACGAGACAGATTCAAGACCTCCAATGGCAGAGGTGGTCCGAACTCTGGAAACTATAGGGCTAATGATGCCAAGGTACTCTAAACCCTTGCTAGTAGAATCCATGGAAGGTGAACCAGAAAAGATATCTACTACTCCACCTTTGTCATTCTCTATGATGATCTGAATTTTGAGTTGAGTGGGGTTAGGAAAATGGGTGAGTTATTATTGATATAATTTATTATTAGATATAAAAAAAA